AAGACTTGACTTCATTTTAATTAGTCTCTTCCTTTATGAAGCCAAATCACTGCACTGTTAACACTTTTACATATCCTTGCCCCGATTTTAAGTGTTTGTGATTCTACCCTTTCTGTTTGTGTGCTTGTTTTTATAAGGAAAATGTGTTTTGTTTCTTTTCTCAAGTCTATAGTTCTTATATTTTTGTGTTGGATAACATTTCTAGAGAGCAGATATACTTGGTCTTTCAAATTTTTGAGTTTGATTCTTTTATTTATTTTTAATGTTTTCAAGGTTCATTTGGGTGGTGGCATGTATCAATGCCTCATTCCTTTTTAAAAAAAATATGTTTTTATTGATTTCAGAGAGGAAGGGAGAGATAGAAACATCGAATCATCAATTGGCTGTCTCCTGCACACCCCTAATGCAGCGGTTCTCTTCCTGTGGGTCACGACTCCTTTGGCGGTGGAACGACCCTTTCCCCGGGGTCGCCTAAGACCATCTGCATATCAGATATTTACATTACAATTCATAACAGTAGCAACATTACAGTTATGAAGTAGCAACGAAAATAATTTTATGGTTGGGTCACAACATGAGGAGCTGTATTTAAAGGGCCAGAAGGTTGAGAACCACTGCAATGGGATCAAACTCACAATCCAGGCATGTGCTCTTGACTGGAATTGAACCTGGGACCCTTCAGTCCGCTGACACTCTTATCCACTGAACCAAACCAGCTAGGGTGAGTTTGATTCTCATTTCCTTTAAACAACTGTCAGTTTCAGTGTTTGTTCTATTTGGACTATTTTCCAATCTCTTGTAAGTACAGTTTTATTGAACTATACCATTTTCTCCCCATTACCACTTTCTGACTGTAATAATGGCCAGTGTGCATATCTGGACTGTCTTTTATGGGAAACAAGAAAACGCTTTAGGCATTAGGCTTGGCACAACATTTCAATTATACATAACATCTAATTGAAATATACTAGTGTCTTGCTCAGCTGGTTGTGGCTCATTGGTTGATCATAACCTAAGAACCAGCAGTCACAGTTCAATTCCCAGTCAGGGCACATACCCCGGTTGTGGGCTTGATCACTTGGTAGGAGGCCTGCAAGAGGCAGCTGGTCAGTAATTCTCTCTCATCATTAATGTTTCTATGTTTCTCTCACTTTCCCTTTTCTCA